CATGAACTCCTCAATGGTCAGCTGACTGGTGGGCGTGTCCTCAAACTCTGTTAGCCTGCAGGGGTGGAGTCATGGACACAGTTACTAGGAGAAGTGGCGTGGGTCTTCAGACCTGGGGGAGGTTCCTCACCTCTTCCTCAGGGTGGTCTGGCAGACCTTCACCACACCGATCACGTCCTTCACTGTTCGACGGAACTTGTGCATTCGGGCCGCGACCAGAAGAGCTAAGACAGACACACCGACAGACTGACATGATGAACCCGTCTGTCCCTCTGACTGCACACCTCACCACTGTCTTTCTGTACCTGCTCCACAGAGTCCAGCTGGTCGTCTCCCAGTGTGAATCCAGTCTCTCTTCATCCTCTGGACCAGACGCAGAGCCATCATGGACACGTCGTGGGTCTTCACGCCCAGGTCCAACATGTGGGCGAACCGGGGGACGTAGAGACACGGGTCTGCGAGACGTAGAGAGAGAAGCTGGACTGGGTTCTTCAAACTCAGACATATGTAAAGGTTAGCCAAAGCTAAGTTAGCTGTGAGCCCACAGTCACAGTGCTGTGGCCTTACAGCAACAAGGTCATTGGTTCAATCCCCAGCTCTTACTGGTTCCACATGTGTGTGTGATGTCACCATGATGTCATCACCTGACAACTCACCAATGGCCGGAGCATTGATGCAGAGTTCACGAGCCAAAAACAGGAAGGTTTTTCCCAGGATGTAGACGTTGACCTGGAAACAAAAAGAGAAAAGCCAACCATTAAAATGCTAACGGCTAACAGCTAATAGTCAGTCAGAGCAGGTCAAGGGTCATACCTGCAGCAGGTCACTCAGGTCTAGCAGCATGTCTGAATGAACAGTCAGGAAACCACAATGAGCTAATGTTGCCCATACTGCTAACAGCTAACGATGCTAACAGATCTAACAGAGCTAGCAGCCCAACAGTGCTAACGCAGCCCACACTTGTCAGTGAGGATACGCGGCGTCCCCTCGGTGCGACACACCAGGTACAGACAGGCAGCGATGACGTGTTCCATCTTTCTCCCCCGGGTCAGATGTTTGGTGACGACCATCTTGAAGAAGTTAAAGGCCGTGTCGAGACAGTGTTGGTTCAGCTGCAGCTGACTGCCCAGCTGCTGAATCTGGCGCCTCCCTGTGGACACAAGTAGAACAGGGCTCTGGTACTAGTACTGGTACCGGTACTCTCAGCAGGACCATGAAGTAGTACTCACCATTCTGCAGTGTCTGGACCCTGGATTCTTTTCCAACACTGTTATGAAAACCAGAACCAAGGTGAGGAGTTTTGACTGGACCTGAGGACCAGAGGAGCAGGAGACCAGAGTTGATGACACCTGGTGGACCAGTGCACTGTGAAAATGTACCTGAAACCTATGTGACGCCGGTTGATTCCCGACGGCCAACAGGCCCCTCACCGTCCACGGACACAAACTGTCCCACGGCCGAGGACACGCCCCCACTGCCTTCCACAAAGGTAACCTCGGAGACGATGATGTTGTCCTCCAGCACTGAGCCGCAGCTGGTGCAGACGGCGCTGCCACGGGCCTGGTCCACGTCCACATCGGTACCTCCACATGTCACACATGTTCTGGAACTCATGGTGAGGTCAGGAGGTCAGGAGGTCAGGTCATGAACTGGACCAATGAAAAAGGTTTCATCAAAAAAAACAATGAAATCAATGTTCTTAGGAACCTGAAAGTACCAAATACTACAACACTACTACTACTACTACTACTACTAGTACTACTGCTCATATTATTACTACTTATACTAATCCCTATACTACTATATTATAACACTAATAGGAAAGGAAAGTCAACTGCTCGTCATTGTGACACACCACTGCACCACTGCACACAACCAAATGTGACCTCTGTTTTTAACCCATCATCACAGCCAGCAGGGGGCAGCAGTGTCTGGGGATGGTGTCATGCTCAGAGACCTGAAACCTTCCTGACCTCCTGGTCCACTTCCTTAACCACTAAGACATTTGCTAGTTAGTAATAATGGTTTATAATTTTCCACCATGTTTTTCTTTCGTCCACAGTGAACGTGTTTTTTGGTTGTTGTTTTTATTTTTTAACATTTGTTGCCATCCTACTTGATGAACAAAGTGTGTAACATGAGGTGACTTAGACCAAGAGCTCATGCTTTACAGCTCAGTAACACTTTACTTCCACCGCTGTAGAAGAGCGACAACTGCTGCTTGGATTAGGACAGATTATTAATCCAGAGTTTTAAGGCGGGACAATGATCGATGAACAACAACAGTAACAACAACAACAACAACAACAACAGTAACATTCAGGTTGTGTAATGACGTCACCGACTGTAATGACGTCAACCACTTCCGCCTTTGACTCCGTTGTTGGTGTGAATGAAAATAAAAGAGTAAGAAAGTGAAGAGAGCAGAACCAAAAGAACTTACCCAGAGAACCCTGCGGAGAACCTCGTTGTTGTGGCTCACACCGCCGACTGTCGCTTCATCGTCATTAAAGCGTCGACGGACGTCACGGTGGCGGCGTCTTTGGTCTGATTAAATGATTTTTAATGGATCACGGTTTAATCTACTACCTCTGCGCCATTTGTTTTCTTTCTGTGGCGCACTCCGGTGACGTCACCGAGTCTCGGGAGCAAGAACTCTTGAAGCAGGGATAATGTCCTTTTCGGTGTGACGTCAGGGCAGTTTTGTTAGTGGTGACGTTAACAAACATGAACTTGTGACGTCTTTGCTACGCCGCGAAAATTCAATGAGCAGTAAGTACGACCTAAGACCCGCGTCAACCACACAAATTTTTGAAAATGGTTTCGCCCAATGGTGACGTCATCACCAGGCGCCTTTTTGGATAGCGGCGGTAACACTGACATCCGTCGGGATTTTCTTTCTGAATGTTGGTGGTGGAGGTCTTCGGGGGCTGAGAGACACGGTGGACACGTCGTTAGCAGGACATGAGGCTGGACCAGTTGGCAGTGGACCAGCGGATCATAGCAGCTGTGACCAGAGGTATTTGGATCCGATGAATTATCATTAGTTCAGGTGTGACGTCACTACACGTTCTTCCTGTGGTTCTCCTCCTTTTACAAGTTTTCAATTACCATTGTTTTTCTACTTACCAGTGGATAGTGTTGGCCACGCCCCTGAACCATTTCCTATCTTGTCATTGGCTGATTTCTTGTCTGAAGTCGTTGCTCCGACTTCACTCCCCACAGCCAGGTTCTCTTCGGTTCCGGAGCTCTTCGGTGTTCCTGCTCTGGACCTGCAGAGACTCTCCGGACTTTCCCGCACTGACGTCCAGTTGCTCCTATCAGCTGCTGCCGCCACCTGCAGGCCACACCCTGCGGTTTCAGGTAAGACCAGATACTAACTTCCAATTGGCTGCAGATTAGTTTTCTAAGCTCGGTCCTTTGGTTTCTCCAGCCGTGAACTACGGTGGATTGGCGTCCAACCTAAGGCTCTCGGTTGGCTGTCCAGTTCTGGACCAGCTGCTCAGGGGTGGACTTCCTGTTGGAGGTGTGACGGAACTTTCTGGAGAGAGCGCCGCAGGAAAGACGCAGTTGGCTCTGCAGCTGTGTCTGTCTGTACAACTTCCTGTCCAGTACCGAGGGTTGGGCTCAGGTCAGACTGCACTTCCTGTCCTTAGCTATAATGCGTCCACCTGAGACGTAGCAGGACCAGGTGTGGACAGTAGGGGGAGAACTTTTCTTACCATCATAGAGTGAGAGCGTTCTGACTTATTGATGCACTTCCTGTGTTGCTACGGTAACCATCGGTCCCTGACTTAGTCTGCCCTCTGTAATACAGGTTCAGACCAGCAGGGTCGGGGGCCCACTGGTGTCAAACAGGAAGTCTCTGTGTTACTGTTTCCTGTAGGGGCCGTCTACGTCTGCACCGAGGGCTCCTTCCCCGTCACTCGTCTGTATCAGCTGATCTCAGAACAGCCCCGCCTCCGCACTGACGTCCCCGAGTCTGTCGTCACCAGTCTAAGGTTCTCAGACCAGATCTACGTGGAACACGCTGCGGACCTGGTGCGTGGTGACCTCTGTCCACGTGACATCTGGTAGAACGCCTGACCAGTGACCTTTGACCTGTCTGTGCATTCAGGACTCACTGCAGGCCTGTCTGTCCCGCCGTGTCCCCCTGCTGTTGGCCCGTGGTCTGGTCCGTCTGGTGGTCTTGGACTCGGTGGCGGCCCTGTTCAGGTCACAGTTCCAGGCTGACGATTGGCTGGAGAGAAACAGACAGATCCTGAGGCTGGGGGCCAAACTGCAGCAGCTGACCTCTGACTTCAACTCAGTGGTGCTGGTGATTAACCAGGTGACACACTGGTGGGGGTTCTGTGACTAACTCTTCAGTGACACCCCCCCCCCCCCCCCCCCCCCCCTCTCCCCTCCCTCCTTTTGTTC